CTGATGTGGGGTTTAACGTCCAAAACCACCATATGATTATGAGAGACGCCGTAGTGGAGGGCTCCGGAAATTTCGACCACCTGGGGTTCTTTAACGTACACCCAAATCTGAGCACACGGGCCTACACCATTTCCGCCTCCATCGGAAATGCAGCCACCGCAGCCGGGATCCGAAGGCGTCTGATCACCGCCCGGAAAACTAAACAGTGCAGCTACAGGAGGGAAAGCTGCATTTGGCGGACTGCATCGAACTCCTCCGGAACGCCCTTCAAATGTACTTTCAGTGTGTGTTGAGGGTATATGGACTGAAGCCTTGGTGGACACAGGTGCATCGCTCTCAGTGTGGACTTGTGTTCCCATTTGCGCAAAGTGAAGACACCGTATGATGGCCCTCGCTGTGCTAATGCGGTTTTCGTTCAGCCTTCTGGTGTTTGCACAGCACGAGTTTTTATTTAGGGCATCCTTCAGCATATACAGTTCCTCGTTCTGTCATCGTGTACTAATGCGCTCATTTTAGGGTGGGACTTTCTTTCCTCAGCTTCAGCCGTGATATCTTGCCGTCAGAGGATCATTCGTATGTCAGATACTGCGCTTTCGTCCGATAAAGATGCTCATAGCCAGCGCTTCGTCACCGCTGATGACTGTTTTATTCCTCCAGACAATGAGCATATTCTGACCTTGACATCAGATAAGATCAGTACTGGTGATGTGTTCCTGGCACCGTGTGGACGCTACATCTCTGGTGGGCTTACCATCGCCCCTAGCCTGGTGCGCTTTCATGATGGCAGAGCATTAGTTACGGCAGTTAACCCGACTTCTTTGCATGTTGCACTGCCCCAGGGCACCAGTGTGGTTTGCTTCACAGACACCGAACCACTTTCTCTGGTGCCCCTTCACGCAGACGCACCATCTTTCTCTACGAGTTCTGATGACGATGCTACGACGGCTGCTTCAACAGCCACAATAAATCCCGATCTCACGTCAGCGCAAAAGCAAGAACTTTTGGGTATCCTTCAAAAACACAGTGCTTCATTTGATGTAAATTCCAAGCTTTTGGGTCGCACTTCCGTCGCCGTACATCGAATTGAAGCGGAAGGCAATACAATTGTACACCGCTGCCCATATCGAGTGTCATGCGCAGAGCGGAAAATCATCGAGAACAACGTTGCTGATATGCTCAAACGAGATGTTATCCGGCCTTCGTCCAGCTCGTGGTCATCCCCTGTAGTGCTAGTCCGAAAGAAGGACGGTTCGGTGCGATTCTGCGTTGATTATCGAGCACTTAATAAGATCACGCGAAAAGACGTGTACCCGATCCCACGAGTCGACGACGCACTTGACTGTCTGCAAGGCGCTGAATTTTTCTCCAGCCTGGATTTACAGTCTGGTTATTGGCAAATACCTATGCACGAAGCGGACAAAGAAAAAAACTGCATTTGCAACACCAGACGGGCTGTATGAATTAAATGTGATGCCATTCAGTTTATGTAATGCTCCTGCCACGTTTGAACGCATGATTGACACAGCCCTACGCGGCCTAAAATGGAAAACATGTCTTTGTTATCTAGATGACATCGTCATTTTCTCCACTTCTTTTCGTCAGCACCTTGATCGTTTAGACGAAGTTTTGACGTGTATTTCTAATGCTGGACTTCAGCTAAACTTAAAGAAATGCCATTTCGCCAACGAGAACATCAAGGTGTTGGGCCACCTTGTCAGCAAAGATGGCCTTCGCCCGGATCCTGACAAGCTTGCTGCCGTGATACGCTTCCTTCGGCCAGAAAATCAGAAACACCTACAAAGTTTCCTGGGCCTGGCGTCCTACTTCCGCCGCTTCATCAGCCATTTTGCTACCATCGCGTCACCACTGCATAAGCTGCTGACATCCGGATCAACTTTCGCTTGGAACGACGACTGCGAGCGTGCCTTTCAAGCCCTAAAGCATGCTTTAACATCCGACCCTGTTCTGTGCCATTTCGACGAGAACGCACCTACATGTCTCCACACCGACGCGAGTGGCCATGGCATTGGTGCAGTTCTTCTACAGCGGGATGCCACTTCACGGGAAAGAGTTATTGCGTACGCTAGTCGTGCTCTTACGGCTGCTGAACAGAACTACTCCATAACTGAGCAGGAGTGCCTTGCTGTCGTTCGGGCCGTAATAAAATTTCGACCGTATCTTTACGGACGCTACTTCACAGTCATTACAGACCATCACGCCTTGTGCTGGCTATCGTCACTGAAAAACTTGCCTGGTCGCCTCGGTCGTTGGGTGCTCCGCCTACAAAGAGTACGATTTTGACGTCATCTATAAGTCTGGCAAAAAACACCAAGATACAGATGCTCTCTCTCGCTGTCCCCTTCCACTGCCATCATCGAGTACGTCAGGTGATTGCTCGTCTGGTGGGCGAAACTCTGCGTCACCCCTCACAATATCACAACTTGCGGTTATCGACACGCCGGCTTCAAATCACTACACCGAGTTCGCCACACGCCAGCGTGATGATCTATATTGCAATAGCATTATTCAACGCCTGAATGGTATATCATCTACTCCTAAGGCTAGATTGCGCCGACAACTACGGCAATTTAAGCTCATAACAATGTGCTCCATCGTTACGTTACACTACTGATGGACACCGCTGGTTCCAGTACTTCCGCGTTCTCTACGTCACCAAGTCCTCGAAGCCTTTCACGGCGACCCATGTGCAGGCCACTTGGGATTTCACAAAACACAAAGCCGCATCAGGAAACGTTTCTTCTGGCCTGGCATCTCTACCTTTGTGGCCAAATACGTTGCATCTTGCCATCTGTGTCAACGGCGGAAGCGGCCAACTTCGTCTCCTGCCGGCCTTCTGCAACCCATGCCGTGTCCCGAGACTCCTTTCGCCATCGTTGGCATAGACCTACTAGGACCTCTCCCCATCACACCAGCAGGTAATCGTTGAATTGTGACTGCTGTCGATCACTTGACACGGTACGCAGAGACTGCTGCATTACGCACAAGTTCTGCTTCAGACGTCGCAGACTTCTTTCTCAACGCCATTTTATTGCGTCACGGTGCACGTCGCGTCCTCCTGAGTGATCGCGGCAAGACGTTCCTGTCCACCATAATCGAAACCCTGCTCACAACCTGTGGTACAGTACATAAGACGACGTTAGCCTACCACCCCCAAACTAATGGGCTGACAGAGAGATTTCATCGGACACTAACATACATGCTATCCATGTACATCACACCAAACCACGACAACTGGGATACGATTTTGTCTTTTGTGACGTTTGCCCATAACACCGCTGTTCAAAGAACTACTGGCTACTCGCCTTTCTACCTCGTGTACGGCCGTTCACCGACATTCACCATCGACGTCTCTTTCCTAAATGTGCCAACCGACGCCTCGGTAACCGTATCAGAGCAGTTCATCGCAAGGCTCGAGGAATGTCGGCAACGGGCTCGCCTTAATACAGAAGCCAATCAGCAAGATCGCAAACAGCGCTACGACAGCTCTCATCGCGACGTCTCCTTCAGTCCTGGGGATGAAGTGTTGCTTTGGACGCCCATTAGTACTCCAGGATTGTGCGATAAATTTCAGTCACGCTTCATTGGACCCTATACAATCAATGAACAAACGTCACCAGTGAACTACCGTGTCACTCCCAGCGACCTTTCTTCGGATCGTCGCTGTCGTGGTTCGGAGATTGTCCACGTATCGCGTCTGAAGCCATTAGTTCGACGTTCCGTTTCCGTCTAAGACGCGTCCGGGCTGGCCGCTCAAGCGTGGGGGGGGGGGGAAATAAGTGTGAGCATTATTCATGCGCGTCATTTTGTCATATGTACATACTCATCATCATCAGCCTGACATGTGTTGTAGGGCAGAGGCTCGGCAATTAAAGAAGTGTCTCGCAGCCAAAACGTTGCCCTACAATATATATATATATATATATATATATATAGATATATATATGGTCTTGCCTATACATAGCCGTCTTGATGCCATACATGGTTGGCTATGCTGCACGCGGGTTTGCCTGATGACTTGAAGCAATGACACGAGATAACAGCAAGATGGCGGCATGCAGCATTTCTCTTTCCCTCCTTTGTTCTCTCTTGCTCAGCCTCAGCTCCCTTTTCTGCCGCTTGGTTTACATGGCCATAGGTGGCCATAATATACAACCGTGGTCTTAAACACGCGTTCATCGTCCCACAATTCTTTCATGACTTTCTAACTGCTTGTACGAAATGGTGCTCGCGTTTAACAACGCTCTGTGCGGGTGAGCTACACGGATGTGACTGGTCTTTAAGAATGTTTTTTGTGAGGCGCACCCCATGTAGTCACCTATTTTGTTCAAGATCGGCATCCATTCTTGATATTAGTAAAATTCCCTTTAAAATTGACCTTTATATGATATAGGGAAAAATGCTTCTTTCACATAACAACTTTAGTGGATAATTTGTTCGAGGCACACTGCCACAATATTCATAAACCAACTTACCCTACCCCCTAAGAAGTGTCAGATGTCTTCATGTCGTTTCCATCTCAATACGCAACTCACGTTCGTATCTCTGGCTTACCGGTCTTGTCTACAAAGTTACGCTGAAGAATTCTCGCTACTGTTTTCAAGAACAACCTCTGTTCTAAGAAATGGTATTGCCTAATTTAAGCCCAAGACTGAGAAATGTGTATTGTAAAGTCGACGTTGTTTTCCATTATTTTGCATTGCCACATAGTTGCTTGTTTTCCTTTTGCTTCAATCGCAGAAATCTATCTAAGTTGGCCTATGCACTGTGAAAACTATGCTTTGCAGTAATGTAATTAAAGCAGCTCCTGTTCTTTTCATAAAATACCTGACTACTGATTTTTTAGCTGTGTTTGCTAAGCTATTGATATTGTTTCTGGGGACAACGATTTAGTTAAAGAAATTCGATTGGAAGTGTATCAAGCGTTTAGAGAATCGCCTACGCATAGGTCTGATTGAAAACAATGTTTCTGTTGTTTACAGGATGCATTGAAACTATGCTTTGCCAACGACCTGGATCCAACTTGAAAAAGTCGAAACAGTGGAGTGAGTGAACATATTTTCTGGGGTCTGTCAGATAGATATATGGGAACTAATATAGCGCAGTTACAAGGCACGCAACAATTTATATCATTGAAAAGTGTGGTGTGGGCAGTCATGGGGAGCTCACGTTACCACAGTCTAGTGGTAAAAGGAGTCTTCTTAAAAAAAAAAAAAAACTTAAGTTCGAGATCGCATGAAAGAAGGGATGTGGCAATGATTCCGAGGGCAACCAATTGGGTGGCCGTCAATGATAGATTTCTCCTCAACCATCCATCAAAAGCCAACTCAGCCGGCGTCTAACTTGTTCTCCTGCTCATGATAACCTTGTGGTTTGTTTAGGAAATTCGCTGAAAAATACAAGCCAGTGTGTTTCTATATACTGTGATAGCAGAATGCTCGACGTATGTGATTGTGCCAGCATCGGAGTAATGACGTAACTTGGCTAATATGAAAGCTTCAACTTCCGAGACGGATTGTCATTTAGCGAGATCAATTTTATCGGTGACAGGCCGAAGCTCTCACTAATAAAATTGAAAGACACATTGGTTTAGGATTCCTCGCACTTATCCTTGTTTTCAAACATTATTCAGTTTCCTCAGTTTATTGTTATATCTTTTTATATACCAGAACAGAACCTAAAGGTACTCTCTGCCATGCTTCATTGCTCTCCTGTTTTGTGTCGCAATAAAAAGCGTAACATGCGAAGTGTCTAACCTTGCAGAAATTTCTCTAGGAAAAGCGTAGAAAAAAAATGGCCCCGTATCTGCATGTAATCTGCAAATGTCGTCGAAAGATGATGTCTTGCGTATAAAGAGAGTGAACAAAACATTTATTTGAACTTCTGGGCAAGAGAATTGGTGAATGGTATTTCGGAGGCGCTGCGTTAGAGTGCCTCGAGCGTGCAGCGGAGGTGAACGAGCGCATCAAGTCACGTCACACGTGAGACATGAGCCAACCCCAATTACGCTCAATAAAGTGAAACTTAAACTGACATCTGGCAGTTTTCTTGGAAAACGAAACGCGTGGCTCAGAGAAGGGTGTGCGCGCCCGTCTCAGAGGTTATAAGGTGTAGAACGCAAGGCGACGGTTAGGTGCCACCACCGTCTTGTCTTAGCAAAGCGTTAGAAACACTCGCCTTTTCGTGCAAGTGTTCCATGGTTAGCGCATCGCGATAAGCGCTACGGTCCTTAATATTACTTATGCCTTTTCTAGTAAAAGACGCACATGCAGAATATATACGTGTTGTTGTGGTGCCCCAGGCATGCGCAATTATTGCTTTTTCAAGTGACAATTGCGGAAGTATGAACTCTAAATCTTGAGCAACATTGGTGGGCGCTGCGTATGGAGTCGGCCGTACAAATGCACAGATAAATGTACAGACAGACCAAAATTTTTCCGTCGAAGGTCCCCGAGAAAGACTATCGCCTTAAAAAAAAAACTTTTTCGGTCTGCGTTATGCCTCCTTCCATCGGTGGGAACAATGCCCACAGCACTGGTCGGTGATGGTGAAAGTCGAAAACTGAAACCGCGTGCGGTTTTTGCAGGCTTCATCAAGTTTGGCTATTAGTAAAACAAATACATCAGTGGTAATATGAGGCACGCACACACTTTTTTTTTGTTATTCTCATGAGCATGGGCGGATGCCGTGGTCTCGTTTCTACAGCCGGTTGCAGGCAGGCATGCAGGCAAGCGAACACAGCGCCAGGCAGCGCCACCGGGCGCCTATTTGAATGCGCGAGACAAAAATAAAAAGAAAGCAAAAACTGGTCTTTGGCACAACTTAAAGCTGCCTCAAGTGCATAAAATACAATTTCAAGTTGAAGGTGTCCGGTCTACCTGCAAAATAGGTCTACCTGCGAGGTCATAATGAAATAATTGGAAAGCGCAAACAAACGGGACACAAGAGAAGAGACAAAGAAGCAGCAGACTGAAACTCAGTTTATTCAGAGAAGAAATTATATACGAGAAAGATGAGAAAGGAAAAAAAAACTGGGGAGAAAGGTTCCACCATGATCGGGTGTCGTCCAGAAACGAGATTTCGCAATCTAACAATCTTTGTCTCTACACAGCCATCAAGACAGCAAAAACTAGAGAGATTGCGGAAGCCTTTTTAATAAAAAGAATATTGATAGTTGTGTTAGTTCACTGTTCTATATCACTGTTAGATTGCAAAATCTCGTTTCTGGACAACACCTGATCATAGTGGAGCCTTCTCTCCAGTTTTTTCCCTTTCTCATCTTTCTGGTATGTAATTTGTTCTCTGAATAAAATGAGTTTCAGTCTGCGCTTGTTTGTCTCTTGTGTCGCGTTGGTTTGCGCTTCCAATTATTTCATAATGAATGTGCACCAACTAGCTCGCCTGTCAACCCTTCTACCTGCGAGGATTTCTTGTCCTACTAATAGCCTGTCAAGATCGAACACATTCGCTGTTGGGAGACGCTAGTGGTCACTTTTTATATACTTTTTACATGAAGTTAAATTATAATTCCTTTTTTTTCTGGCACGAAAGCATGCTCGTTACTGCAGACGTGATTAACTATCTTTTTGTTTGCGCCACAATCAAAAAAATTCCGCCATATCCACGAAGTGAATGATGATGAGTGGGCGAAGCTCCGGAGGTAAACCTGGTAAACCATGAATCCTCTGTACATTTTGCCCACTCGATTTTATTACATCGCTCCCCCTAGCGTACGTCGCCGCACTAAATCGAACGATTGCCTTCAACCAATGACACGCGCCATATGTGACATCATTCCTATTTTATAACATCTCGCGTCTTTCATCAACTACAAGTACCGCTTTCTAGTTTATAACATCTTGCATCTTTTCATCATCAGCTACAAGTACCACCATCTAGTAAACACTACAAGAACTAAACGAGAGGTGGCTACATGGATGGATGGATGGATGGATGGATATGGCTGTACCCTTTAGATCGGGCGGCGGCCAGCGCCACCAAGCCGTAATACCTAATGAACCAAAAACTATATTTATTTTTTTTTCCTTAAAAAGTGAGTTTGAGGATTCGTACTTTGCAGTGAAGAGTTTAATTTTCACTCGTGTCTTGACCTTAGCCACCAATCAGATAACCTCCTTCTGGTTAATCCACCCGCTTAAAGTTTATTTTGCCCTCCCGGTCCCTAAACCCCAGTGCTTTGAAAAACTCTGCGCCATCATCCTGAACTATAGGGTGAAGCCCTTTACAGAACATTATCAAGTGTTCGGCAGTTTGTTCTTCCTCTCCACACGCACTGCATACCGTGTCTACCCCTTCGTATTTGGCCCGGTATGTCTTGGTTCGCAGTACTCCCGTCCTGGCCTCAAACAGCAGAGAACTACCCCGAGTATTATCATAGATCCTTTCCTTGGCAATTTCCTGCTTAAAAGTGCGATAGATCTCTAGTGCGGACTTCTTAATCATGCCCATTCTCCACATGTCAGTCTCCGTTTCCTTCACTTTCTTCTTAACCGATAGTTCTTTTTGGTTTGGCCACCTGCTGTTTTCTAAGTATTTACCAGTCAACTTCCTGGTTCGCTTCCTCCATTTTGTATCGACATTCTTCATGTACAAGTAGCTGAAAACCTTCCTAGCCCAGCGCTCTTCCCCCATTTCTCTCAATCGTTTCTCAAATTTTATCTTGCTGCTAGCTTCCCGGCCCTCAAATGATGTCCATCCCATATCACCTTGTACTCCCTGATTTGGTGTATTCCCGTGAGCTCCTAAAGCAAGCCTACCTATTCCACGTTGCTTAATTTCTAATCTTGCTTGAACTTCTGATCTCATGCACAAGACCGCATTGCCGAACGTCAGTCCAGGAACCATGACCCCTTTCCATATTCCTCTCACAACATCATACCTATTGTAATTCCACAGTGCCCTATTTTTCATGACTGCTGCATTCCTGTTACCTTTAGTCGTCACGTATATTTCGTGTTCCCTCAGATACTCGGTCCCATTGCTTATCCATACGCCCAGATACAGGAGACGGTACCGCCATCTAGTGAACACTGCAAGAACTAAACTAGAGGTGGCTGCATACAGGGGACGGTACCACCATCTAGTGAACACTGCAAGAACTAAACTAGAGGTGGCTACATACAGGCTACAGGGGACGCACAGCCCACGCCCTAAGGAGCTTCGCCCCTAAAAAATTGTCCGTGCGGTAGACAGTTCCTTTAACCTTGTAATTATACGGCCTTGCAATTATACGGCGCATTGTTAGGCGTCAAAATGTGGTATGTAAGGCACACGAAAAGACCCGTAAGTTTTTAGGCTTCACAAACTGTTCGACAGTGATTATCTGTTCCATTCGTTCACAATATGTATTGTTTGTTGATGAGGTACCAAGCAAACACATGTAGTATTCGCTTGTGACGTATGAAAGACGGTAAATAACCTTGTGAATACATCGCAGCACGGGACTTATGGTGCAGGAGGGCCGACTATAGTTTATGGTTGTCGAGATCTACAACATTCTCAGATCGGAGGAGTAATGTTTCATATTACATGTAAAATCCTGGTATAACATGTAAAATCCTGGTATAACAATGCCACTGTGAACTTCACCTATATGTTATTACATTGGTAAACATGTGTATATTACGGGCGAATCACTAAGTCGCCGTAGCCGTGATGCTCCGCATAATATTTCTGAGATAGTATGCCTGAAGCAAACCATGTGCATGTGAAGGGTGGCGCAAATGATACTTGAAACGTTGCGTACGTAAAGTCTGCGCATGCCCAAACATACGTAGAGCAAGCGTAGAAAAAGATGGCGGTTTAGAATGTTGATATGTTGCTTTCTTTCTGAGCATGATATCAAGTGCGCGCTATTTAATGAAGGCATTGGGAGAGGGGGATGTATTGAACAGGTGCTCATACACACCCTCTTTAATCTATAGACTATGACAACGCATGACAGTCTGCGCAACTTATTGCTTTCGCAAAGCTAACGTTCTTTCTCGAAGGCATCGTTCGGCGGCTATGAAGCCAACAGATGAATAGAGACGTGGCTGGCGTTCTTTTTTTTTGTGTGTGTGTGCTTGGCTTCCCAAGCATTCATGAGCAGTGAAGGCCACGTAATCTCAACTTTCCTGGATACGATGGAAAAAGATTGATCAAGACGGGCTTCTTCCATATTTCCGAGCTCTTCATCGCGACAGCGTCGTGACAGCAGGACTAGCTTAACGAAAAAAAAAATTGCTGCTTCGAAGAACGAAATATAAAGGCGTTACGTTAACCGCTTGATCACGCGTGCCTTCAGAAAGACAGTGGATAGTTGTTTTAACTTACTTACTAAAAAAAGAGTTACAAATGCTCGTCCTCGTCTGTCTGTTCAATTTATGTCAGTATGTACAGCTTTTCGCGGTAAAATTGGTCATAACCAAGCGTGCTTTGAATCATAAATAAAGAGCGAGAGCCTTCACTTCAATTGAATGATAAATGACAGAGTTCTTTTCAGCGGTAGTGCTTACAACAGCTGGGATTCATTAGTGAATTGACACAGCAGCGAAACGTTTTCCTGAAAAAAAAAAAAAAGGAACTGGTTTGTGTGAATGCCAACGTGAATGCCAATAACTTGGAAGAATGGGCTGTTGGGCGAGTTGAAAATTTGCCTTGTCTTTTCAGAGGATTTCGAGAGAGATTGGAATATATTGATGCATCACGTATTTACCAAGGAAGAGGAAGAGCTCCTCACTAACTGCTGTGGCCCAGGTAATATTTTCTACATTTCTCACCAGAGTGACGAAGAAATGGTAGCGTGTTTCATGGTAGAGCTAGGCACAACGTTCTCAACTATAGAAACCCTCCACCGATATTGGCGTAATTTTTAACTTGATCACAACTTCGAATAGAAGGGGCAAAAACAAAAACTGCACGAAAGTTGTTAAATGTTCATTCACTGCCTGTTTACAGGGTATTAGCATGGTCTTTCAATACTGTTGGCTGTGGAACACATTTTGTGAGCACCGATGGCAGAGGTTGTGCTTATTAAGTGCCGTCTGCACTTTTTTACGCGCGAACAAAACAAACTGTTTCGTGCTGGTGGTCGCCCATCCTGTCCGGCCAGAGGAGGAAGAAAACCAGGGTCATTATTTTTTTTCAGTGATCTTTTTTTGTGTCATTCACTCTATCTCCCAACTTTTCATCCACAGTTTCATCCACGCAGATTTAAATAAACTCTATGTACCTGCGCTCATGGCAGTTTGGAATTCTTGACAATTGCCAGTAATTGCAGCAAAAAAATATGCCGAGAATTTCGCCCACATTTCTTTACAAGGCGCGGCGTTGTTGCAAAGTTCAAAATGCTACTCACTGCTAGGTAATACCCGTGCCACACGGGCATAGAAAATGACATTTGGTGGCGATGGCCTTCAGTTCCCGAATGACATTCGTTTCGCCAGCGCTGCTACACGTCCAAAGCGAATGACATTTGACTTGATGATGTCGATCACAGCACCTTCCAAGTGAGCATTGAGTGAGTAGCAATAAAAAAATTAAGAAGCACTTACAAGCTTCAAACACATCAGATAATCATCAAATGTAGAAATAAGCGTATTACGCTGTCCTAAGTTTTAGTTTCTTGCTTTGTTTTACAACGTTGCAGCCGACCGTAGCAACCTAAGCCAACACTAGTCAGATCCACAGCGTAAATAGACACTAAAATTGACAAGCGTTTCATTATCAATACTTTATTTTCTTTGTATAACGTTCAAAGCACCTTTTTAGACTTTAGTGCAAATAAAAGACGGGAAATTTCATTTTTAGCTCAATATGATTTCTTTTATATACTTTCAGGTAAATCGCACTTCGCGAGCTGTGTCGTCGAGAGTAGGCATTTCTCAGTCAACTGAGTTCTGGCGAAGGCAGTTTGGTGGCGAATGGCATTCGAATGGCATTCGGATGAATGCCATTTTGTTCGCCCGTGTGGCACCCGCGCGAATGGCAATAAATCTGAAGGCATTCGGGGGTAATGCCATTTTTTCTGCCCGTGTGGTAGGTATAGTGGCACACAAATTTATCTCCATTAGGCAGAAATATTTCGCACATAAAAGCTGAAAAAAATTGAAAGAGATATCTAAGTGGACAAAGAAAAGAAAGTGTTCGGTTTAAGCCCGAAAGCGACTATACAGAAATCGAGAAATGTAAAAAATGTCACGAACACATCCGTCACTTGACAGATACTCTCAGTCAAAACATTGGCAGCAATCAATGACTTGGGCAATTTGACAACGCGCATCATGTACAATATTGACAATACTAATCACTGCTATGATTTGTTAGCGAGAACACGGAGAAGGAAAATATCTGAAGAAGTGTATTTGATGGCAAACGCCTCTGCGAACGCGCACCTGCCCTACATAGCGCGGCAGATCAATGCCCTCCTGTATACGGTGGCGCCTGTGGTGGCCACTTTTGTCCCTATATGAAACTTTCGCGGGAGTTTCATGACCAGTAAAAAGTATTGAGGGACCATGGTATTAGTGATACGCTTACAGAGCTGTTCTGCTGCCCGAAGAAAGGCAGAAATGGTAACACCCATATTTGGGAAGACGAAAGAATCATGCCGTGGGTGATATGCAGGACAAACGTTCAAATTAACCAGATACAACACATTTGTGAAAAATAATATCGGTAACTATTCGAGAGGGTTTGAATTGTATATATGTATATAAAAGTGTAACACGTATATTGGTAAACTTTGTTTACAGAGATCCATGCAAGCTATCTTGATGCTAGGAAGCAGATGTTTTTTTCATGTACTTATTGATTTGTCTATCTTCTGGCAAATGATATTCAATTAAACCAAAGTGTGAAAGTTATCTCGCATTTCAGCGAGATCAATAGTTGCAATGAATAGTGAATCTGGTCAAAATTGGGAAAACCTACGGTGGCAGGCGGCCTTGTAATTATACGGCGCATTGTTAGGCATCAAAATGCGGTATTTCAGGCACATGATAAGACCCGTAAGTTTTTTAGGCTTCACAAACTGTTCGACAGTTATTATCTGTTCCATTCGTTCACAATATGTATTTTTTGCTGATGAGGTAGCAAGAAAACACAGGTAGTATTTGCTTGTGACGTATGAAAGGTGGTAAATAACCTTGTGAAATCATCGCAGCAAGGGACTTATGGTGCACTAAACAACCGACACTGATAAATCAACTTTTGTTATTTCATCATCAGCTTTACAGTGTCTCGTTTTCTGCCCCCTCCCCTCCACCAACCACCATATCACTTTTATCTAGGCAGGGAAGCTCACGATAAAAAGGTACAGTTTCTCCAAAGCTGAGTGCATGTTTCGAACAGCGCGCACGCAAAAAAAGAAAAAAAAATGCAAGATGTATACGTGTAAATAATGTTAGGCCCAAATGATCACAAAACCGTGGTTTTGTGAGCATTTGTGTTCATCTTGCAAGATGAACAAATGTGTGTGAAGCATTATGCTACATGTTAACATTGCGAATATATGTGAAATGCATTGTGAAGTTATGGGCTCGCTTGCGTGAACATGTATACTGTAGTTTACTGGGACTGTGCATGTGAATGCTGATCTAAGGGTTTATTTTTGAAGCTTTGGTATCATATAGAGCATTATGAGATAAACATTGTGTACGAGAAATCAACTAGGCATCGCTGTAAGTGGGTACTAACCTTTATTTTACTTCTTTTATTTAAACGAAAAGTAGGCGTGTACTTAGACAGTAAACATGTATTCATGAAAATTTGTTAGTAGTCTAATGAAACGAATAAAACTATCCTTTACTCACTATTAGGTCTCTCAAGCTGAGGCCATCGTGAATGAAAGCAAACTATATATGCATTTGTTTATCATTGAGTTTCTTGCTATCAGCGAAGTTCAGTACCATTAATTGGCAAGAACAGAAAAAAAAAGCACTCACTATGAGCGAAAGCTTTGTGAACTCGTCACCTGAAATGGAACTGTAAAGTGAAACGGAAGTCTAAATGGTGATGCAGCGTTAATCTTGATAGTACTTTTTAATATACAAGTGGTATTAGGAAACAAGTGCCTTATCAAGACTATATGTCCTTGTTAACTGCTCAAATTATTCTGACACAGCGAAAAAAGGAGCGATATGCAAGCGACAAACAAAATAAGAATTTGGCTGAAATTTTTTACATATACAAGCATACCAGAGTGCATTACGAGTTTTGCGAGAGAGACAAAAAAATAATAAAGGCATTCTTTATAAGCAGGCGCTCAGAAGCGTACGTACCAACTGTTATCAGCGATTTTTTTCACTATAGCGAGGGAATTAGGCCAGCACGACGAGCTTGCAGTTCGTTATAAAGGGGTAAAGGAGACTGTATGAGTACCTGAATATTGATAGTTTGCTGGTAATGGCTTTACCCGATCTACTGGCGCTTCTGACAAAAAAATGCCACTGCCCATCACAGCCAGCATTAAGGAAATATTCGGCAGATCACAAGTACCTTTGGCATCGATGTTATGTGAAGCATGCAAAGGGAAGGTGACTGTGGCGCAATTCCTTTATTTCGCGAAATAAAACAACGTGACGTTGAAGACATACACAAATGTTGTAGGCCCAGACGTATCTTAAAGAGTCACATATGTTTTATGTAAGCAGTTGTTTACAGTGGCGTAATGATGCCAACACCATGAGCAGTAGGTCGGTATGCAGCCTTTTTGCTTGCGAGAATGGTAGCTCTGGCTATAGTGCTACGTCAACCACGTTCTGTGGATGGCGCTGGAGTACACAATTCACGTTAACCCGACGTAACGCCTATATCATTGGTGTGCACACGTAATGTTTATCAAATTAGATAGCTAGCAGTGCGACCACAGCTGACGTTTCACCGATATTACACCTGAATAGTCCTTTTTTTTTCAAAACAATTTCAAGACGTGGCATTTCTCTTTATTAGTGAATTAGATTGCCACACTGAATGATTGGGTCTGATTCCTGCTGAGACCTTGATATTTACGTTTACATTCTTTGGATCAATGCTGCCGCTTTCAGTATCCCCTAATTCTCTCGCACTTTAATTACGAATGTCTGCTCGCGGAGTTCCCGGGTAGATATAAACCCTTAATAAGCAGTCGCGCATGCCCGCATATTGGATTCCATGGTATACTGGTTTGTGCCATATGTGTATGAAGTAAAGAGTTTGACGACATACGCGACGGGATTTTAACATTACCTATGTCATGACCAGCCAGACAAATTTGTCAAATCTTCTTACCCTCTCAACCTAATTTTGGTTCACCCCAAGTTAAAGACATTTGATCACGAGAGCACCAAGTCGTAGGCGTCTAGATAGAGAGATTAGTAGATAGCTACGTAGTTGGAAGCGCTCAAAGTGCGCAGATGGCTAAGAATCGCTTCGCATTCAAAGAAAAAAAAAACTGAAAGTGGTTTTATACAAACAGGGGACAATGCAAGAGTACTGGCAAATCGCTTTTCTGGCAAATGTAACAGTACTGGTAAATGAACTGTAAGGTACAACGTTTCTCGCTTGATCATGCATTTTTAATACTCACTCAAGTTTGGCTCAATCAGGCTGATTAGTAATAGGGATTGGAATTTTAATATTTAGGAATTATCGAGGGTCCTGCACTTTACACTTAACTTTGTTTTGTCCTTAGGACAGCACGAGGCAGTGTCCACATGCGTCAAGAGGTCCAACTTTACACGGAAGGAATACATGAAGGTAAAATTCTTTGCCAGACAGTTTTGCTTAGAAGACGAAACATTCGCAGCGATAAAGAGCAACTTATCATTAGGTTGAAACTGCTGGATCAATGTCTTACGTGAACAAAGGGACTATTTGACACGCTGGTGGCATCGCGAAATCTTACTCAGTTGAAAGATTGAGCATGCCAAGTGGGGCCTGTAATGATTTCGCACAGGCGCCCCTTAGCTTCTCTGTAAAGGTATCGGGCTTTAGCGCTATTTCAGTTACAGCAGTTGCCGATTTTGAGACCTTAGTAATTATTTGATATAATGTTTGCTAGTTTCCATGAAGGTTTCGAATGAATAAATAAATGCGAAATAAAACCTCGTATTTCTGCTTTGCTGAGATTACCGAAAATCTTTAGTAATGGTTCAGTGGCGACCACAATATTTCTCTTAGCAAGCTTGAAGGTACAATAATGCACTGTCAGTAGTTTGTACTGAACATGACAATCACGCCATTTATAAGAATTCGCTTAGAGTGTTCATATAACTGCTATCTCAATAAAAAAGAATAAAATTTATCTCGTAACGTTAGCCCTACCGTGAGCGTCGTTACAGTGCACAAGAAGAGTTATTTTCAAACTGGACATATATTTTCACTTCGCCTCTCTGAAAACAAAGTTTTGTGATTTAAGAATTGGTCATCCTTGATGTCCATGCCATGTTATTTGTTAGACGCCATTTCCAAACATGCCACAACTTGCAAACGTGTGATTTATATCCAAAAGTGGCTTAAAATATAACAACATACGTTAATCGAACTTCGGCATCAGCTAACTACTTGATCAGTATACTTCAAAACGCAGTGTACATCAGACATCAACGCAACTGCTTCATCTCTGAATTGCCCTTTTTTTCTTCGCATAATCATACATGTGCAGATATCTGTGCTGTTAGCCAGAGAAGGTTATTGTGTGGTCCAGTGTTAAAAATAAAGTGTTGCAGAACGGTGGAAGAAGCGGTGCAGGTGCAGAACATAACAGCATCGCATTTGTGCTAACGCATACGCCTTGTGGTGCAGTTCCTCACGCTGCAGCGAAGTTCCTGTTCTAACAGCGAAGCTACATGTGCTTAGTCGATGTTTTCATGTCAGGGATCAGGGGTAATGCGGTTGGGCATCATAAACGGGTGTGTGCCAGGGAAATTGGCAAAATCCAATACTCAACATTAGTCCACTAAAAAATTCGGCAGATCCCACGTACTTTGAGAATCGATGCTATGCGAAGCATGCAGATGGAAGGTGGAAGGTGTTGTAAGTTTTTTTATTGTATGAAACATTACGAAGTGGCGATATGTACAAAGGAAGCACAGACACACCTTAACTAGTCGCTTATGTTTTATATAACTAGTAGGTTACAGTTGCGTAACGATGCCAACAGCAACATAGATTTTAGCAACATCAAAAGCCATAAGCTGATATGAAGCTCTGGTGCTCGCGAGAGTGGTAATCCTGGACACGACTACCTAAATCTAGTTCAGCAGATGACTCAACATCAGCTTAAGTTATTTCGAGTGTATACGTAATGTTTATAAAATCGGATAGCCAGCAGAGGAACTGCAATTGGCGTTTCACGAACATTATAGGTCTATGAGAGAAGTAGTTCCAGGACCTGGCATGGTTTTGTGGTGGAATACTTGATTGCCACGCACAATGCTGACGTTCGAGTCATGCTAGGACCCGGACATTTATTCTTTGCAGTCGTCGGGTCAACGCTGTTGATGTCAGCCTTTCTTAACGCTTACACGTCAAAATTACCCACGTCTGTTCTCGCTATTTATGGGTAGATATAAACTGTTAAATATCTGTGGCACATACCTGCGTATGTGTGCCACATACCGGACCACAGGAACATGCCGCAGGTCTGACGGAAAGGGTTTGATGACGTACGCGACGGGATTGTGACGTAAGTGATGTTATGACCAGCGAGTTATATTCGTCAAACCATGTTACCCTCCCATACTAATTTTGGTTTACCCCAAGTTAAGAGGATAGTAACGAGAGCACCAAGACGCAGGCGGATAGATAGATAGATAGATAGATAGATAGATAGATAGATAGATAGATAGATAGATAGATAGATTGATAGATAGATACACAGACGCCCAAACTGCGTGCCGTACGCAAAGAAATGCTTCGCATTTAAAATGAGGAAGGCAACACCTAGGCAGTGCCAACCAGTACGTTCCCCAGAAATGTGCGTGGCCTATCATGAAACCATCATAATCATAAACCCGTATGTGCCATAGTAAATCAGGTAAATCGTGCTATATCAAATTACACTAAATAAGGAACAAGGCAACAGTTGGCTAAAGAAATGGCGGGCGCGTTATCTTAGCCCCACCAATACTTTCACGTGATATTTCGTGGTTATGAAAAGTGGCGGATATACTAACACCTAAAGCTTAACAAATAGTGTTGGTTAAACCGATACAACATATCTGAAAAACTTGCAACACACACAAATGCAAGGGAAGGCTATCAGCTCTGCTGGTTCATAAGTGTCCGCAAACTGGAGCTGGTTGAATATGTGGGGTCTCGAAATGAAGTATGAGCGCCACGCTCTTGCAGTGAATGGACACAGTCGACACGATCGCAACGAACTAAGCAATACACATTTATTTAACTACTTTTATAACGACAATTTCGTAAGCGGAATTATTATAACATCATTTGTGATCCACACGCTCAACAACCTTACGCATTATTACACAACCCTCAACAACATAACAAACACAAGAACACATGCAAGGTGGCTTCGCCAACCCTTGACTGACCACAAAGGCCCCCGGCTGATGGCCCGCGGTGCCGTGCACCGAGGTCCCACCTCTAGAGACAACCGTTCGCGTCCACCACCAACAGCAAAGAGAACCACTTACATCTTAGGCGCCGCCACCCAGGCCGGCTGCCAGGCGTCACTTCCGGCGCTACACACTACCCATGACGATGATAGTGATGTCAAAGGATGGATAGACGGATATGGCTGTACCCTTTAGATCGGGCGGTGGCTAGCGCCACCAAGCCGTAATACTTAATGAACCAAAAACTAGATTTATTTTCTTCCCTTTAAATAGTGAGGTTGAAGATTCGTACTTTGCAGTGAAGGGTTTAATTTTCACTCGTGCCTTTATTTTAGACACCAATCAGATAACCTCCTTCTAGTTAAATCTACCCGCTTAAAGCCTATTTTGCCCTCCCTGTCCCTAAACCCCAGTGCTTTGAAAAACTCTGCGCCATCATCCTGAACTATAGGGTGAAGCCCTTTACAGAACATTATCAAGTGTTCCACAGTTTCTTCTTCCTCTCTCCACACGCACTGCATACTGTGTCTACCCCTTCGTATTAGGCCCGATATGTCTTTGTTCGAAATACTCCCGTCCTGGCCTCAAACAGTAGAGAACTACCCCGAGTATTATCATATATCCTTTCCTTGGCTATTTCCTGCTTAAAAGTTCGATAGATCCATAGTGCGGACTTCTTAATCATGCCGATTCTCCACATATCGGTCTCAGCTTCCTTCACCTTCTTCTTAACCGGTAATTCTTTTTGGTTTGGCCCCCTGCTGTTTTCCAAGTATTTACCAGTCAAATTTCTGGTTCGCTTCCGCCATTTTGTATCGACATTCTTCATGTACAAGTAGCTGAATACCTTCCTAGCCCAGCACTTCTCCCCCATTTCTCTCAGTCGCTTCTCAAATTTTATCTTGCTGCTAGCTTCCCTGCCCTCAAATGATGTCCATCCCATATCACCTTGTGCTCCCTGATTTGGTGTATTCCCGTGAGCTCCTAAGGCAAGCCTACCTATTCCACGTTGCTTAATTTCTAATCTTGCTTGAACTTCTGATCTCATGCACAAGACCGCATTGCCGAACGTCAGACCAGGAAACATGACCCCTTTCCATATTCCTCTCACAACATCATACCTATTGTAATTCCACAGTGCCCTGTTTTTAATTACCGCTGCATTCCTGTTACCATTAGTCGACACGTATATTTCGTGTTCCCTTAGGTACTCGGCCCCATTGTTTATCCATACGCCCAGTTATTTGTATTTATCTGTTATCTCTAGCATGACCTCCTGTATTCTAAGCTTACTACCTTCATTGTCTTTAAAAATCATGACTGCTGATTTTTCCTTACTGAATCTGAAATCTAACCTATCTCCCTAATTACCGCAGATGTCCACCAATCTCTGCAAATCTTCCTTGTTGTCGGCCATTAGCACTATATCATCTGCGTACATCAATGCTGGTAGTGCCTGTTCAATGAGTTTTCCTTGTTTGACGAAAGAGAGGTTGAAGCCCAGTCCACCTCCCTGAATAACAAGGGTGACAGAAGACACCCCTGCCTAAGCCCCCGTTTCACCTCTGTGGGCTTGGATACCTGTTTTTCCCACTTTATAACTACCTTGTTACCTTTATAGATATTCTTTAAAAAATAAGTGACTACATCTTCCACGCCTAGTGTGTCCAGTATTCCCCACAATTCGTCTTGAACCACGCTATCGTACGCTCCCTTGATATCCAAAAATGCTAGCCATAGGGGCCTGTGTTCCTTTTCTGCTATTTCGATGCACTGCGTCAGTGAGAACAGATTGTCTTCCAACCTCCTGTGTTTCCGAAACCCATTCTGCAGTTCCCCCAGCACCCCCTCATCCTCTATCCATGCCTGCAGTCTTTCCTTTATAATCTGCATCGCCAGCCTGTAGACCACTGATGTCACTGTTATAGGACGGTAGTTGTTTATGTCAGCTTTGTCCCCCTTTCCTTTATAGGTCATGCTCATCCTGCTAAGTTTCCATCCATCGTGAACTTCTCCATCAATTATTATTTTGCTCACTGCCTCTCTCAAAGCCTGCTTAGACTTCGGACCTAATGTTTTTATCAGCATAATTGGAATGCCATCTGGGCCTGTTGATGTACTACTAGGAATCCTTTTCTCAGCCCTTTCCCGCTCTTGTTGTGAAAATGGAGCCATTGCGCCACTTGATTCATCCTTGTCCATTGTGGCGCATAAAGCACTTCTGTGTTGAACGCTCGCGAGCACAGCGCCACCTACTCGATAGTTGTCATATCCGAATGCGGCTTCTGCGCAGGACAAGATCGCTATGAGGTGGAAACAACTTTAGGGGGAGTGGCAGCACCCTCACAAGTTTTATTCTATTTCTTCCTCTTGCCTTCCGTCTCCTCTCTCTTTTTGTCATTTTTCTTTTACACTTCCCTATAATCACCCAGTGTTGGGTAACCAACCGGGAGTTTTATGGTTAAACTCTCTGTCTTTTATCTTTCTGTTTCCTGCGTTCCTCATTATTCTTTTTTATCCTGTTGTTTATAGCACACTAAATTCTTCTCGAAATATAGTTATTATATCAATGCAGGAACACTAGAAGTGATGCTTTGCATGAAAGAAGCATTTGATACAGCACCTAGAGTTACGTGCCATCTTGACTTGTAGGGGTAAAATATTCCAGAGTAGATAGTAAAATATACCGGAATATTGACCAAGCTTCTGAAATTCGGGCAAACAAATTTACCCAGTGGTCTACAATGATCTCGAAATGGCGCCGTCCGCTCATACATTCAGCTTATTTGTGCTGATTCAACGTGGAGTCGTTAAATCAGTTGCAAAAATGGAGCTGATGTCTAGTTGCGATAAAAAGGCTCCTCTATTGTTATATACTTAGACACTTCTGTGCGATAAAAACTATTTAAATATCGTTAAACTATATTTTCTCGGTGTAATTATTCCTGTAATGTCGAGCGAACAGTTTGTTGCGTATCGCTTTTTTCTTGTTTTTTCGTAAATGCCTCGAAAGTATCAGCAGAATATACTATGTACTACTATATACTACTAGCAGTACTAGTATACACTACTAGCAGAATATACTATGTGGTTGACTTGAACAAGGGTAGAAAGGAATGTTTTGAAATGGTAGTTGTTGTGTAACGTCTCGCGCAATAATTGCCGTTAATTGATATCCCCCCTTGCTCGCGGTAATGTTACTGTGCATCGAACTACATTTTCGTTATAATTTCTTTTAAGGGTGGAGCCCATTCCGGGACCGGGTTTCGCGTGCTGTCGTTGTCACTTGGCATAGCGCTCCATGTGTAGAATATCTAGCACTCGATCCCACTGAGGAGAAGACTTTTCCTTTTCTTCGAGCACCACAATGAAAAGACAGGCCGCGTGCTTGTTAATACCCTTGGTGCTAATTCAGCTGCCTTAATTCTTTCATGCTATTTTTTTGTTAATTAGGCTGCTTTAATTTTCTCATGTTATTTTAGGGATAGTGTAAAAAACTATATCTTTGAATATAAGAGTACTAAATATAGCACCGTGCTTTAAACATATACAAAATTGTATACCTTCCTACGCTGTTTAAATATTGTTAGTCACTTTTTTATCAAAGTGCTTCCAATATTTCCATACCACTTTGGTCCGTGATCTCGTTAAGCTGTATAGCTCATACAACTAAATGTTGTGATGAAGTAATTTACTTATTTACTTTTTTCATATATATTTACTCATTATACCGAAAATGCCCCTAATGCAAGGGTACATATATACAAAATCAGTTCTTCTTTAATATGTTCGAACATGGTTGAGCCAGATTGAAGCACTGCATTGGTGGGAAGGCCATTCCAGTCTCTTGATGTGAGGTTGAAAAAGGAGGATGCATGGGAGACAGTGAGCTTGAAGGTATACGGTCTTCTCATGGTTGGTACGGCTTGAGTGGCGGTGTGCGGGAACAATGTGGCCGACTTGCGGTGATTTGTGAAATAACTTGGAAAAGAGAGAAAGGTGGGCGATTCGACGGCGTGACGAAAGACGGGAAAGTTTTCTTGAGATTTGAGTTTAGATGAGCTAGAACTACAGGAATAGTCCGAAAAAATAAATTGTAAGGTATGGCTCTGTACTCATTCAAGCCTAGAAATGTGGTTATGTTGGTATGGGTCCCAAGGGGTAGTGATTGATATCTAAATGCGGCTTCCGTACATTCTAATTTTTGTTTCATTTCGACATCCCAAAACACAGCTGCGTGTATCGGTGATCGCATGGAGGCATAACAAGGTGAGTAGAAAATTATCGTTTCTCGGCAATTTTCAATGCTCGAGCAGCAACTCAACCAGCCGTTTTTGTGTCATAAGTTGCGAAGCGGTGTCACGTATATTTTCGAAGACTGTTTGACTCGTGCATGCTAAGATCACCAGCGTCTTTATTAGCATAGTGCAATAACGTATTATTATAGAGACTTGAAGCAATGAAAATTTAGCAGCTTTGGCGTAGAAATGCCACAGTGGGCGTAGACTTCGAAAACGTGCGGGTTGCCAAATTTAGCTTTGGCCACCAGACCTTGTGCAGACGTCAATGCTTGATAATTGGTTGTCTCACGACACCCGCTGAAGAAATTTCCGGAGCCCTCCTCTACGGCGTCTCTTATAATTATATAACGGTTTTGGGACGTTAAGCCACACATATCAATCAATCAACACCTGCTGGGCACGCTGGGTGTCGATCTCAGTAAGCCTGACATAATAATAATAATAATAATAATAATAATAATAATAATAATAATAATAATAATAATAATAATAATAATAATAATAATAATAATAATAATAATAATAATAATAATAATAATAATAATAATAATAATAATAATAATAATAATAATAACATAACGTGTCCAGGAGCAACCATGATGTCTTAGTGCAGGCGTACGCTAAAATAAAACAATAAGAATGAACAATACAATACAGAGTGTTTTCAGAAAAAAGAAATGAAAAATAAAGGGGAATATACACAACTGTGTAGAAACCTTCCTGAAAGACAAAAAGGGAAGAATCTATAAATTTCGAAAAACTCTCTTATGACAGTGCAGAGCTGACATAAAGACAATGACAGTGGACTGTGAAAAACATCAAGATTATGAACGTTAACAATATAGGGACTTTGTATTCTGTGAACGATAGAGCGTCGGAAAAAATTGGCAGGCACATGAAACGTTCGGTTCACTCTGGTTAACACGCGGAATCCGAAACTTTACACAACTGAGAAGTAAAGTTCAGGATGTCATACCGTGAAATATCTTGTAAAGAAGTAACAGGTCAGCGCGATTTCGTCGGCAGTAATGTGGTGGCACAGATAACAATCTGGCAGTGTGAGAACGAAATCCAGAGTCATTTCTAGCGAAACAATGATTGTAAATGCTTATTTTTTTTCTGAACATGCCCAGTAGCTTCGCTGCCAGATTTAGCACTGGTATTCCAGATATTAGGTGCATATTCAAGTTAACGAAGACATATTGTGGTGTATAAATTTGTGGAAGGCTGTAGGAGAAATGAATTCTCGAGAGATACTGGAAACACAGCTGAGAGAACGAAGGCGACGCGTCGCAGCACGTTTAGTATGAGCAGAAAATTAGCATGCTATCAAAAAGAACACAAAGATAACTGAATTCATAAACCTTGCATAACAACATCACGTTGACAGAGTACGGAGATGACACGATGGATGTTTTGAGAGGGACACTCCTGAATTCGACTTTGAGGTATTCAGAGCGAGGTTACTGTTGTCACAGCATTCGGAGAAATAACACTGATCTGTCTGCAGCAAGGAACAGTCGTTAACTGAATGAATTTCCTTAAACATCTTGATGCCATCGGCATACAAGAGAAAAGAATTTGCCTTATACCGACCCTTCAAGGACTGCACTAGTTACTTTGTACAAAGAAGACGTTTCGACATTTTCGCCAACATAACATGATCTATTAATCCGAAGGCTGTGCAAGAGATTCACAACAGACGAGTCGACATCAAAGTTTGCATGTTTAATTTAAAACAGTAGGGGGTTGACTGCGACAGGAGCCTTGCTCAGGTCACAGTAGACTACGTCAATCTGTGGTCTTTGAGAAATAGGTGAGGAGATATGCGTCATGAAACTAGCAAGATCTGTGGTAATGGAGCGGCCAGGAAGAAATGCGTGTTGATTAAGAATCAATGAATTATTCACGCCAACATACATAACTTTGTGAAGAGCCAGTTCAAAGATCTTCAATGTGGCACACAGTAGAGAAATCGGGTGGTAATTAGAAACATCAGGTTTGCAGTCCGACTTATAACTGGACCGTTTTCCACATGCTGGGAAACTTGGAAGCGTTCAGACAGTTATTAAATATGGTATATAGTCTCTACTGAAGCAAATGTACTATCACAAGCCTTTATATGGCGGAAAAGATGCCTTCTGGACCAAACTAAACAGAACGTTTCAAGCGCCTAATGCACGAGCAGATCATCTTTTCATCCAGTGACAGACCAATAGACGTGCTAACTGTCTTTTGCTATTGTGCTATCCGAGTCCTAGGGTGTGAGGACTTAAAAACGGATGAAAAATGTGTGGCGAAACAGTCAGCAACGGTATGCACTTTGACACCGTCTGAGTCCAGCAGTCTGAAGGACACCCACTTTTGCTAGACTGTTTGCGCACATAGTTCCGAAACGGAAGTGGCCTGTCCGAAAGATCTTTTTCTAATAATTCGATATATGAACTGTGGTCCAGTTTATATAGGCATTTAGAAAGAGTTCCTAAAGAGCTGGACTCTTCCTTCCACTTTCTAAATCGAGAACATTTAGCCTTCTTGTGTGTTCTATATTTATGCATGAGTGTACTTAAAGGTTCAGCGCAGAACCAATGGAGATATTTACGATGTTAAGGATGTCACAGTATTTATTCACGTACAAATGCACTGGAAGGCCGAGGAACGTCAGCAGACCGATGAACGTCAGCATGCTGCAAATCCAAGCAAGCGCAAGTTCGGGTCACGCGTGTATATCACCGACGCTGTGGCTTGGCTTCCTGGCTGCTTCGTAGTCGTCTCGCATTGTTCACGACAAGGTGTATATTGCGGTATAAACTTGCACAAGCTGTTTACTACAAGCTCCGTAAGCTGTTCACCTCGCTCATCAAGATTTGATTTGTTAGTAACTTGTGACCGATGAAAGACTTACAAGTAATGAGTCCGTGTAGTCAGATCTCCTGAAAGCAAATCTTGAAGATTGGTTAAAACGACTGCTTTAGCTTGTAGTTCCGGCACATACGGATAATCTTGCATTAAGGGGGGGGGTGGGGGGGTGGAATTGGTCAGCCCGAACAAGAGAGGTGTCGGAGCGTGAAACGTCAACAGATTGATACTTTGACAGACAGAGGCCTAAGGCGTTGTCTCTGCAAGTGACGACTGTGTTTATGTTACAGTATACAAATAAACGTTAGAAAATTTAAGTGCAGGCTGCGCTTTTTCTCAATGATGTGATGATAAGGAGTAAAGGTAAGCGTGGTGCAGTCGGTTCAAGGCACATTGAATACAAGAACAAGAATTCTGTGTCTACTATGAGACGAAATCACATGACATGAAACAAGGTAGGGGAAACACTGGGTGGTAAATAAAAACATGCAATCAACAATTTTTCTCGTCGATACAGGCCGACTTTTAAGCAGATCAATTCTTCGGATAATTCCAGGTCTTTCCGTCTAACAGATTTCAGTGAACTATCAATGGAAATCAGCACGCCACCACCTTTCTGTTTGGTTTTGCTGAAATCTCGGTGAATGCGGAAGGGGGTGAAGGTCGGAAAAAAAGTCAGATGAGGGAATTTCAGGGTTCAGCCTGGTTCCAGAAATAGCGTTAATAATAATAATAATAATAATAATAATAATAATAATAATAATAATAATAATAATAATAATAATAATAATAATAATAATAATAATAAGTAATAATAATAATAATATAATGATATAATAATATTAATAATAAAAATTCATGTGCTACCAATGACACTTGGTGGCATCAAATAAAATTACTCGATTTTTTTGTTTCAGAACCAAGGTGCAGAAGCAGAAGAGAAGGAGAAAATATTCAATCTGGTAAGAAATGCAAAGCTATAATGTATACGCAATATACTGGGGATAACTTGAGGTTACACGAAACTCTTGGGAAAAGTTTCAGTCAGCGTGCAAAATACGTGGTCGAAGATAGGGAAATGAATCGAAACGACGTCATGCATGACAATTAGTTTCATGTGGTTACACTTAAACGTTAAAAAGCACATGTGTGCATGTACTTGAGTACGCACCCGGATTGTTTGTTTTCTCCACTTCTTTGACTTTCGCGTCAGTTGAGTTGCGCTTTGCATATATTGCTTTGTGCCGCTCACCTAAATGACGACGAAGAAGAGTACTAGGTGGTGCCTGCGCTAGCCAAGTCAGCCATCAAATTCGTCTTGTTGCATCTTTCTTTTATTTCCCGTAAATACATTATTGTTAATCTGTTAATAAGGAAGAAATTCATAAAAACTATCCGGTTCTTGGCCAATCCCCCAGCGTTGGTGTGCGCCACATCGTCAAGGATCTTGGCTTGACTTGACTTGCTCTCGTCATTTTGGTTGTTTTTGACATCACTACTGTGAACTGTAAATATTACGCCCTTTTCTGTAATCCTTCCCGTAACATCATTGGTGGAAAGTGCGGGGTACCCACTTCACGCAAGACGGAACTTCGCAGTGGGCGTCTTCTTGGACAGACCATCATGTCGACAGACAATGCCGTCAATCCAGCCCCCGCTACGCCGAGTTCACCGAGCCACGCTGTTGTGACCCACCCCCAAGATGCTGGCCTCTTCTGCGCGACTGATAACGTGCACGTGGAGAAGTGGCTGGCCGACCACGAGTGCACCAGCAAGACCAACCGCTGAAATCTGACTTTGATGCTCGCAAATGTCAGCTACTACCTTAGGGGAACAGCAAGTGTGTGGTTGGACACGCACGAGGAGGAGCTGACCAGCTGGGGCGTATGGAAACAAAAAATTAAATACTTTTTCGGAAAGCCCATTGCACGCAAACGAGCCGCCTAGAAGGAATTCTCGTGCCGAGCCCAAACATCAACAGAGCCGTACATGGTGTACATACAAGATATATTAGCCTTGTGCCGACAAGTTGATAGCCAGATGCCGGAAGCCGACAAAGTCAACCACATTCTCAAAGGCATCGCTGACGACGCCTTTCACTTGCTTGTGTATAAAGACTGCTCCACCATTGCCGACATTATCAGGGAGTGCCGACGGTTCGAGGAAGCAAAGAGCCGCCGAGTCACGCAGCAATTTGTTCGGCTCCCTAACACTGCTGCCACGTCGTGGTGTGAAGACGTCCAGATTCAGCCGCCGCCCAGTACAGAAAACTGCCTGCGTCATGTTCGCCGAGATATCGAGGCAGCCTCTCTATCTGCTCCCCAAGTTCCTTCTCACGAGGAAGCCCGCCTGACAGTGTCACTAATCCTGGCCGTCGTGCACGAAGAACTGGCAAATGTAGGCATCCAGCCAGTATGTGCCTTGAGTCGTCCCGTGGTCAGCCCTGCTTCATACTACCGGCCACAACAGACGTATTTCAGGTACCGTGATATGAACCAGTGGTGCACGCGTGATGACAGGCCGATACGTTTCAACTGCAATGACGTCGGCCACATTTCCCGCTATTGTCGTTACCGTCGACCATTGTCCCCTCGCTCATCATACCATCCATACGACACCAGATCTTCCTCTTTTCACAGCCACGAGGACCCACAAAACCCTAATGCCCAAAAATTGACCTCACGTTACGACCGCTCGCCATCTCCCCAGACCCAGTGACGTTCTCGGTCACCTATGCCACGTCGCTCCCCTTCACCTTTCTCATGCCGTCCATCCTAAAAAAACTGACAGCGCAGCTCCCGGAGGTGATGCTGCATTGACTTATTGACCCGGAAATCCACTATTAACTCTGGCAACTCGGCAAAACCTTTTGGACGTTGAAGTAGATGGCGTGCCTGTTTCAGCGATCATCGACACAGGTGCCCAATTATTAGTCATGAGTGCTCACCTTTCTCGCCGTCTTCGTAAAGTCATTACACCCACCTCATCACCTGATGTTCGCGTAGCCGATGGCCGTACACGTACTATCCTCGTGTTCTGCGCGTGTGAGCTTCGGTGATCACCAGACCTCAGTCGTCTTTGCTGTTCTGGACGAGTGCCCTCATGACCCAATCCTCGACCACAAGTTTTTGAGCACGCATTCAGCCCTGATCGACTGCTCATCAGGCTTGTTACAATTAGAGCTTTCTGCTATACCTGACCTCACTATCACTTCGCCACCACGTTTATGTGTCGTTCAGCTTGTTCGCTGGTGCCCAGGTACCGCGACTTACGTCTCATTTAACGCAGACCCACTAGAACGTGATGGTGACTATACTTGATTACCCCCTCCTTGGACGTTCTTCTGACGCGACTAGTAGCTCTGCCTCACTCTCTTTTGACTGTGTCTGCAAACAACGCTTGCATAACTGTCCAGAACTTTGGACACTGGGCAGAACTGCTTCCTGGAGGTATCACGCTGGGCACGATATCACCTTTAGACGCAAACGACCATGTCGCCCTGGCCATTGATGTCCCACAGCCACCTCCAGGCAGCCCTACTGCTAGCCCGACACCTGATGACGCGTTCGACAACATGATTGCCCCGGTTCGAGACCCTTCTCAAAGCCTGGACCTACGCCTTTTGTTGGCGTCATACCGCGATGTTTTTTTATTTCGCTTCATAAAACTTGCACAAACATCTCTGGTGACCTATCAAATTGAAACCGCGGACGCAAAACCTATTCATCAATGCCCTTACAGTGTCTCGGCGACCGAACGCAGCGTCATTCAAACGGAAGTTTACAAGAGGCTCGCTAAGGACACCATCGAGGCATCTTCGAGTCCTTGGGCGTCACCCGTGGTACTTGTAAAAAAGAAAGATAATACCTGGCGGTTCTGTGTCCACTACCGGCACCTCAAAAAACTCACCAAGGAAGACGTCTACCCCTTGCCGCGAATAGACGACGCCCTTGGTTCCCTTAAAGGCGCACGGTACTTTTCTTCGATCGACCTTCGTTTGGGCTATTGGCAAATAGCTGTCGATGAAAATTATTGGGAGAAGACCGTCTTAATTACACCCGATGGTCTATAACAGTTTAAAGTCATGCGTTTTGGGTTGTGCAACGTGCCAGCTACATTTGAGCGCATGATGGACTCGCTACTGAGGGGTTTCATGTGGTCCACATGCCTCTGTTACCTGGACGATGTTGTCGTTTTCTCCCCGGCTTTCACCAGTCACCTGCAACGCTTATCGCCTATTTTGCAAGTCTTTCCATCCGCTGGTCTTCAACTCGTCTCTTCAAAATGCTGCCTTGGCCGCCGAGAGATCCCCATGCTCGGCCATCTAGTTGACGCTGCCGGTATATGACCTGATCCTGCAAAAATACGCGCTGTCACGAACTTCCCTATTTCACGTTCTTCCAAGAAATTTCGCTCGTTTTTAGGCCTGTGCTCATATTTTCGCCGCTTTGTTAAGAATTTCGCAGTCATTGCGCAGCGCCTCACATGCCTTTTGAAAAAAGACGTCTCTTTCTCTTGGAGACCTGACCATGGCGTCGACTTTTTCCCATTTCGTCGACCTACTCACGTCACACTCTGTGTAGGCCCATTTCGACGACTGCGCCTGCTGAAGTATCGATGTCAGTGGTCATAGTATCGGCGATGTCCTTGGCTAAAATCAACGTGGTCACGACTGCGTGATTGTTTACGCCAGCCGCCTCCTCTCCGCAGCCGAGCGGAACTATTCTATAACCGATAAGAGTGCCTTGCTCTTGTTTGGGCTGTCAGGAAATGTCGTCCCTATCTTTACGGCAGACCCTTCACCGTGGTAAGTGATCACCCCGCTTAATGCTGACTGTCTTCGCTGAAGGATCCGGCTGGTCGACTTGGTCGGTGGGCACTGCGATTCAAAAGTACACGTTCACTGTTGTCTACAAGTCTGGCCGCTTGCATCAAGACGCCGACTGCTTGTCCCGTTATCCCGTCGACCCGCCAGACTCTTCGGCGAACGATACCATTCTGTCTGTGCTTGCTATAACTGACCTGTTCAACATTTCTGCTGAGCAACGACGTGACCCGACTCTTCGCAACGTTATCGACCGCTTCAACACTACAGCTCTCGATTCATCCCTTCGTCTTTTCGTGCTATGCGATGGCACCTTGCTAGGTCGTAGTCTGACATTCGACGGTTTTGACCCCTTGCTTGTGATTCCGACACACCTTCGTTCGACTGTTCTGGCCCAGCTTCACGACGTGCCGATGGTGGGGAACCTCGGCATTTCCCGCACCTACAATCGTGCACGCCGTTGGTTCTACTGGCCCGGAATGAATGGGTCAGTACGTCGTTACGTGACCTTGTGCGATCCTCGTCAGAGCCGGAAGAAGTCAACACTCCCACGTGCCAGCTGTCTTCAACACTCGACGTTCCATTTGAACCGTTTCATCGTGTCGGCCTCGACTTGCTTGGTTCGTTCCCTACGTCTGTCTCAGGAAATCGATGGATCGCCGTTGCCACGGGCTATGCCACACAGTTCGCAATTACTCGCGCGCTTCCCACCAGCTGCGTGACCGACTTAGCCGACTTCTTGCTACATAACGTCATCCTTCAGCACGGAGCACCTCGGCAGCGTCTGACGGACCCTTGAAGGCAGTTTCTATCTCGGGTCATCAGTGATATCTTAACGTCTTGCTTGACCAAACATAAGCTAATGACTGCCTACCATCCAGAGACAAATGACGTGACGGAGCGGATGAACCAAACCATCAAGGACATGCTGGCAATGCACGTGTCTGCCAGCCACCAAGATTGGGATGCAGCGTTGCCTTTTGTCACACTCGCCTACAATACGTCACGGCACGAGACGGCGGGCTATTCGTCTTTCTCTCTTTCTCTCTTTCTTTCTATTTTTCTTTCTTTCTTTCATTATTTCTTTCTCTCTTTCTGTCTCTCTTTTCTCTTTCTCTCTCTCCATTTCTCTTTCTC